TGCAGCCCGTGGGCCACATGTTGGACATACCTTTACTGAATATCAACATATTAATTAATGAAAGCATGAGACTGAGCTAAACTAAATAGCAGACAGCAAATTCCTGAAGCGAATGCATGTATCCTCTTCCTAGAATTCCTTCTGGCGCCTCTGTTCAAAAGCTGTATTTTATAGTTGTGGTTATGTATGTTACTAAAAAATCCCATAGCAGTTTATAATGAGGTATTACTGTGAAGTGAATGTAAGCATATATCTTGAAGAATTTAGTGCGTACGTAAGTCTAATGGCAGTAGAATAACTCTCGTTTGATTGTCTCTTTTTAACAGGGCTAATGGTTCAACAGATACCCAGTGAATATACATTCTGCAAGTCCTAGTGTTCTATCTATATTATATATTTAACAGATTTTTTCATTTCCTAGGCCCTATACTGCATACAGTTTAATCGAGCACATAGTACAGGAAACATTTTAGGCTGCCTTTGCTTATCTCCAAGTTAGCTTCTCCTGCTGTACAAACGATAAAAGTAGGACAATGAACCTTTCTTCTTGGATTTTTCTAATGCATTTGCTAGGTATGCTTTTATATAGCTGCAGTCATGAGTCCTTCCCACAGTCAACTAATAAGCTGTTGATGGCCCTTTAAAGTTCTTTTTTTAATCAGCAACTTAGTTATGTAAACAGTTGACATAGTTTATGAAGAACACTTGAGGAAAAGACTGGCAGATGAAGAATCCTAGCTATGTGATATTTAATATAACAAGGCAGATCTTGACTTGTCAGTTAATCGCTGTACAAATGAAACAAGCAGTCAAAATGGAGAAACAGTTTGTAAAGAAGTTCATTTAAAATGTATGCAACTATTTTGTATATGGTTCAAAGATCTTGACTGAATGCACCAAAGGAAATTTTGGATGTAAGGTAAAAACAATGCTATCTTGGTAGTGCTTTAGAAAAGCATTAAAATATTTTCACCTTTACTTTAGAAATAAATGAGTATGGGTTGTTTCAGAATTACTCAATCAAATCACAGTGCAAGAAGATAAATAACTTCAAAACTTGAGAAAGTGTTCTAACATTCTGATATTCTAAAATTATATCACAAATACTATTTTTGCAATCACCCATCAAGAACTATTAGTCACATTCAGAAACACAAAGCATGATGAAATTATCATAGGACACGTACTATTGGAACTGATCTGTGACAGCTAGCCAGGGCAAGGCTCTTGCTAAATGAGTTGAGGAAATTTAGTTTTTAGTGTAGGAACTGCTAACTAGGTATTCCCTTTCTGCATCAGAATCACAGAATCAGTGAATGTTGGGGATTGTAAGGTATCTTGAAAGATCACCTAGTCCAATCCCCATACTGAAGCAGGAAGATGCATGCAATTACTGCCTACCAGCTGTGGCACTGTATCTGACTGACTAGCTGCAGCTTGTTCAGTTGTTTGTGATTGCAGAGTTTATCTCCCTGCAAAGATGTGCACTAGGTGACTCCTTGAAATCCTTCCTAATCTTATACCTCTGTGTCCTATAGCAATGTGAAGCTAGTTGATGAATGCCATTCAAATGTGGTAGAAATTCAAAATACAATTATTTAGTGCCATAGTTTGTTCCTGCATATTTATTCAGATTTCCATTTGTATAGAATACCCTAATTGTGCATCGTTTAACTATGTTTCTAGAATATCTTGGAACTGTCATTCCTTTTCCTTCCTTCCTTCCTTTTTTTTTTTTTACTTACTGTATTTTATTTACTGCTTGAATATTCTGCTGTGGTGCCTATGGAATATATGTGCGCCTGCAATATTTACCGTTTGGCCAAAAGCTGGACAGTAAATGAATATTTATAGATTTAATCATGAAGTGAGTGTTACAATGGCTAAATCTATTTTCTTTACTGTTCATGTACTTATAGTTTCCAGTCCTGTAGGTGATGGACTGCTAAAGCATAGGCTAGTTTTAATCCTTTTTTTTTCCCAGAAAGACCTGCAGAACCTGTTGGGAATCTTTCATCAACAGATAGTTATAACTGTGATGGTCTTCCTAAATCACAAATATTGCAGATGCATGAATGCAGTCTAGTAGAAAATTTATCTTCCTGTGAATGTTAATTGAATTATTATTCCTTATTTTAAGAAAGCTTGATTTCTACAGTGAGTTTTAGGTGACTCAAGACACCTTCTCCGTGTTTTTGTGAAAGGCTTAGTGTGTAAGAGAATACTTCCTAAAATAAGTTGCAAGCACAATATAGGGCTGACCAGGACCTGAAGGATTGGCATGAAGCTGTGTCGGCGCGGGGAGAGGGGCAAGGTTGTGTGTTAGGAAAAGGCACTGGAACAGGCTCCCAATGCAACCAAACTGGCTGCAGTCCTAGAATCATTTGGACAATGCTTCCAGATGTAGAGTAGAATGTTGAATGTTCTTTTGAGGAGGCAGAAGTTGGACTCGATGGTCCTTTTGGGTCTCTTCCAACTCGGGAAATTCAGTGATCCTTTTTTTACGTTTCTTGTACTGCAGTGATAGAAACTGGCCAAATTAACATGAAGAACTCAAGGAATTGAAATAGCTGTGCTTGCAAATGATGATGTACTTGTCCTTTTGAAAAACATATAAGCAGTGTATGTTATTTTCTCCCTCATCCTAGCCTGTCTTTTCAGCAAAATTTCAACATGCTTTTATTAATCTGAAATGTAAATACAGACTCTAATTCACCTTTTTTATTAATGTGGCTTTAGAAGATTAGGATTTTCCCAAACTGATGAATGACCCACTAAATTAGTGTGTATAAATACATACTTATTTGTCTTTTCTGTTCATTTTGGATGAACATAATCTATTTTGTGATTTTTCATATTCTTTGAAGAGGCAGTACATTGAATAATTTGGTGCTGCTAGTGAGGAGTAACTGCAGTTTGGTTAATCATAAATTAATTTCAGATTAGCACTGAAACTCTAAGGAAAATATCTCATTTTGAAAAGCTTTAAGTGAAGGTGACTGGAATGTTCCAAAGATGGCAGATGATATTATGGGGGAAATAAAAGGCTTTCTAGACTATGTTCGAAGTAAAACTAAAACACTTTCTTTAAAACAAGAAAAATAATAAAATTATTATATATAATTACATATAATTATATATATATAAATATATATATATAGTTCCTTGACAGTATTAACCTTTGTTGACCTTTGAATGTGGAACATACTTTATTACTTCAGATATATAAAGATCTACATAACTGCTTTGTGGTACTGCATACAAAGTAGAAAAAACAAATTGCTCTACAAATTACAAAATTAGGCCTGTTTTAGACAATTTATTACAGGTCACGTTCATGGATGGTTTTGTTGTGCATGATTTTGCAGAAAGTAGGTGAAGTTTGTGTATATGCAACCAGAAATTACTTTTTATCAAGTCATAAAGGTAGAAGAGAGGTGGAAGGGGAGAAAGAAGAAATGGAAGAATTGAGTTGATGTTTAAAAACCCAAAGAATAGTAACTGGAGGAGGCTTGTGAGTGATGTAGTTTGGGGTAGTATAGCAGAATAATATCTTTGACTGTAATCTGCCAAGAGCTGTCTGCATTTAGTGAAATGTATTAATTCCTTACTGAAGTGCTGAAGAAAGTCTCTGAAACAGGATGATGAATTTTCCAAGTTACTGATTTTGAGGGGACAGAAAAAAACTTGATTTGTTTTCAGGATTTAGGTGGTGAACTTGAAATGTTACTGTGCGTCAGTTTTTGTGACAGAAATGAGAATTTACTACTTTTGTGAAAAACTACTCGAATTGCAGTCATCAATGAGCTTCTGAGAAAGTCTTGTCTATATACTCAGTAGAAACTTTCCTGTTTTTAACATGCAGAATACAGAGTCAGCTGACCAGATCTCTTCCCAGTAATGTTTTGTTCTATTTTTTATTTTTGCTTTTATGCCAGAGTAAAGGTGCTAAAATGGATTTTCATTCTGAAGACTTACCTAATTTATCCTGGGCTAGAGCTGGAAGGACAGACTGGAATAGGAAAGAAAATAGGGACATATACGTGTGTACACACATATTTATAGATATATGCATATAAAGGAAAGAGAATATGTATGCATGTATGTTTATATATGTATATAGATTGTATTCATACGCATAAGTATACATATACAGAGATACATAAAGATGGTGTTGGAATACTGCAGTGATACAGAATTCTAAAGATATATGGTAACAGAATGGTACCTGTATTTATTTTGTATTGTCTCATTTGTGTGGTATTCTGTATTGCCACTTGCACTGATTAAAAAGGGAGTCCTGTTTTAAAATAGGTGAAATAAAAACAACCCACATTTTGGGTCTTTTGCTTTCTGGCATTTCAGCTTAAATCTGACTGCATTTTAAGTGTTCCATGCAGTCATACGGTTTGGGAAAGTATTTATAAAATTAGTCTCACTGAACTGGCTGAACACATACTATACTGCTTCTTGTAATAAAACATGAGAGTTGACAACAGTAAAGATTCAAGATCACTATGTATATAGCCTATATTGATATAGCAAGTAATGTTGAACAAAACCTTGCAAGTCTTAATATTAAAAAAATATGGAAAATGACTCATACGCAGTGTGTGGGAAGAAACAGGTATTACAAGTGTATGGGATCTGATTGTTTCTTTTAATCAGTCTGAAAACACAAGAAAGTTACTATTAATCTCTGCTAACTTTAATTACTTACCAGAAACAATGCCTGCCTATAATTTTCCCAGTTTTCTAATTTTGCTCTGCTTGAAGACAGATGGAGACAATATGTAATCACTTATATAAATTAGTGTAGCTATTATGCAGGCAATCATTTACACGTTCAACAAGACAAAAAAAAAATTATTGTTTTTTGAGTTTTCTAACTTGTAGCTACAGGTTAGTTATGCTAGCTTTCTTTACATATGTGCAACAATCAGGTGTAGTTATCAAAATATTCTGGTTTAATTTAATTTTTTTTTTTTTTTAATTTACAGAAAGATGAAGAGAAAAATCACAAAGTCAGACTAGCAGTTGGAAATGGAGTAAGAAATGATGTATGGAGAGAATTCTTAGACAGATTTGGTGCTATTAAGATCTGTGAGTTTTATGGCGCCACTGAAGGAAACATTTGTTTCATGAACCACACAGGAAAAATTGGATCTGTTGGACGCACCAATTTCTTTTATAAGGTGACTACTTATATTATACTTTGTAAAATGGAGTGCTGAAAGTCAGTGTATTTATTGGTTTGACCACAGGACATGGGACTTGAGGTATAAGGTAAACATTCTTGTTATTGCAAGATTAATTGGCAGTCTGTAAAATCTTGGCTGTCAAAGTATCACTGGTCATGCTTAGCACCCAACCCAGTTACGTTTTTAGCAGTAACACTGGAAGTTTTAGAGTCCACAGAACTCATGAATGCCTTGCCATTCTTAGGAGAATTTTTAGTAGATTCTGAATATAAGGATCAGGTCTCTACTACATTAAAGGGCAAAAATGGAAGTTAGATTTCTTTTAGTACTTACGAACATAGCATATGTGAAGTAAACACAAAGAGTATATTTATATTATATAATACTCTGTGGATATTTGGCATAAATGAGAATTGGTAGTAATAAAGTAATGCATAAATAACTTGAAGGGATATTTTATACCTACATATAATTATATATAACTCAAACTGTACTTCATGTAATTTGCTTCCTTATTCTGAAATTTCAAAGAATATATATTCCATATATATAAATATTATGTAAATACACAGAAAGTACCAGTTACAGTAATATAAAAATTCCATGCCTGCTGTCTGCCATGTCTTCTGTATTTATTTTGTTCTAGGTTACTTAACGTAGAAATTTTTTTTGTCCAGTACTTATGGCAGTACTTTTGTATTTGCAAGTCCATCTCTTGCATTTCTGTAGTTTTGGCAAAGTCATATCTCTTGAGAAACAGTAGATGTTATTTGTATCATACAAACTGTCTTCTTCTTGATGTATCCAAGTAAATGAAGAATTATGAAAAGGGTCAACTTACAACTTGTACGTTCTCACACATACCTTTAAGTATTTCACCAAGAAATTCATGGGTTTCACCCTTTGGATCCTATTAATACTATTTTGAAATGATTGCAGAGGTCAGTAAATAATATGGGTCTCAAGCTTTAGATATTAACATGAAAGATTACTTAGTACAGCTTACTAGCAGAGAGACTAGATATTTAATATTGCTATTCATGCAAATTTGTACTTCTGAAATAACAAGATTATACACATCGCCTAGAATTTGCAGAAGTAACCAATTCTGTGTATCCAAATCCTCATATTTTAAGTGATTTTTGTGCTTCTGAAGAAAGCTGATAGGAAAATGTCAAGTCCAATCTGTTTTCACAGAGAATAACACCTTCTGGAAACCTATCTGTGTGAAGTGGCTTAAGATGAAGACAAATGGGTTTTTTTACAGCTTATATGTTCCAGGGTCCACATTTTCAGTACAGCATCACATAGACTACCTCACAAGTAGTCACAAGGTGTAGACTGTATCTTTGTTTCAGGGATAGGAGCACATGAGCTGGTGTTTCATTAGACCTTGCAGGGAGAAACGAGGAAACATTAAAAGAGAGACAGCAGGAGCTGCTGAGTTTTTCAGGAGCCACTGGGAGCTCAGGAACTAAATCAGACTTTGCTGATTTTCTGTGTTATGTATTACTGATAGTCTGTAGTATACACAGTGGACATCAAGTGCCAACAGGTATCTTTAGAAAGATACAGGTCACTACAGGGAATCAGTGATCTGGAATGTAAGGAGCAGCAGCTGAATTAGGAACCTTAGAGCTAATGTTACATTTTTTTTTTCAGAGGACACTAAACCATGTGTTGTGATTGCTCGTAAACCTATTTAAAAAAAAAAAAAAATTCTTACAAAATTTTACATTTGTTCAAAACCTCAGTAAATTTGTTCTCAGAATTTTAGAGCTCTTGACAATTTAGTCAGAAGTCAATCTCCTGGAAATACCATATGTAGGTTTCATCATAGAGAAGATCAGACTTGAAATTACCTAATTATTGACTTCATTTTCTGTATATTTAATAAACTAGTGTGTTTGGTTGTTTTTTGTTTGTTTGTTTGTTTGTTGTTTTTTTGCATATGTTAGTAGTAGCACTTCATATATTAATAAAATTTGCCTTTTGATTTCCAAAAGGAAGATTAGTATTTTGGGCTTTTTTTTTTTTTTTTTTTTTTGCACATGAAGCATGCTACTTGTTCCTCTTTAAGGATCACTCTTAAAATTTAAGACACTTGCTGCGTATTAAGCGAAAAATACCTTTTGAAACTGCAATTAAAAATAAATAAATGCAATACTTGATTCCACTAGATACCTTTACATTACTTTGTGCACTGCTCCAAGTTAGAACTGGTGTAGTCTATATAAACATCAACATAATCTGCTAAGATAATTAGGGATTGTTTGCTTACTTACTCAGTATGTATATGGAAAGATAATAAGAGATGTTTTGAATTATAAAAAGCCATTCATTACATTTGGCTTGACCTGACATCGGAGTACATTCTATCTTTTTCAATACTCTCTTTTCCCTAAAAGTAAGTCCATAGTAAGTCTTCAGTTATTTCTGTAGCTTCTGTTGTAAGTAACTAAAGCACATTGTTGTCACAGGCTCAGTTTTTAGCTATTACTGTTCTCCATGGGATCTGAGGTACACTGGCTGCCAGTTGTTCCACCAGTGTACATTAATTTGGCATTCCGTATCTGTAAAGTTTGAGAAGACTTAAGGTTGTTGCTGAAAACCAGATTCAATGCAGAGACAACCTCACCTCAGTTATGTGGACATGGTATGTTTAGCTAGATTGTTGGGTAACTTATATGACCCCTATTACATGGTAACAGATCAGCCAAGATTATCTTCCAAATTGAGAGTTCTCAAAGGCTTCTCCAAAGCAGCATCAGGCATCATTTCATAACCAGTGTGCTTTGATCTAGAGCATTTGTAGTTACATAATGTACCCAATCTCTATCAAAGAATTTCTGCTAGCAGAACAAAATGGCACATGACCCTTTTATTTTTTTCAGTATAATAATTAGATGTGTCAAATTATCAGTTTTCTAATACATTAACTGCTGGGGCTTTGCTCTTGTTTCCTATGCAGTCTTTCTGGAACAGCTTCTTCAGTCTTCTTTGTGACACTCACTAGTTAGCGGGAGCAGCTAGTTCACCCATATGCTGAAGCAGAGCAGTGTTGATATGAGCAAAGTTTCATGTACAGTGCAGTTGTAGAAAAGCCAAGGAGATGCAGGGAGAGAGACACAATCATGAAAACAGCATAAGATATATAAATTTTCATACTTAAATTCTTAAGTTTGTTTATTTCTGTATGTGTTTTTTTGATTACTTTGCAATCAAGTATTGTGACACAAAATCATTCTATATTGTAATGACATAAGTTAGTACTCACTTATTTCAGGCCTTTCTTGTTTTTAAATATGTCTTACAGGTTTCACATTATTAGACAACACATTCTGAAGTGTAGCTGTTACTTTTGTTTTTCCTATTTTTCATGACATTTATTAAATATCTACCGACACGCAAGGGAGAGCAGCTTTATTTCTGGCTCTCTGACTCTTGAGCAGTCTGAAGTTGGAAAGGGAGATTGCCTCCTTCTGGAAAGCAAAGAATAGTGCAAGGAAAACCCACCTATCTGGTTACTAAATTATCTTGTTTCCGCAAATAAATAGTACAACAACATTTGAAATCTTATTTTGACGTGGGATGGTATGAAGAAATACCCTTAAACAAGTATTCTGGGAATTTCGAATACAATTACTTACCTGGGAATAGAAAGAAGTTTGAAAAAGGGGAAAAGAGATTTGTGTGATTATGTGATAGATTAAAGGAAGAAATGTACACTTTGCACTGGCATGGAGATGAACTAAATACAGTATAAAAGTCCATCCATACATATATCAAACGTGTAGCTGGAATAATGACAGGTAGATTCCAGGTATAATATTTTTAATGGAGAAAAACTAAATAGACATTTTATTTCTGTTGTACCCAACGACAACATGGCAGTTTCTGAAGGTGAAATGCAAAGGATACAGCTATAAAAGACAAATTGAGCACTCCAAGTGAGGAAAGTAAGTCTTCTGTCAGTACCTGACAAGTGGTGGTTGTGATTGGAAGTCGTATTGATAAATATTGGGGTTCTATACATTTATTTTCCTAAATAATTTTGAAGACACAAATTAATGCATAAAAATAGGTGAATGGCATTGCAATTGCCAGATATCTAAGAAGCCATTGTGTATGAAATGCTAACTTCAGGCAGTGCTCTTGTTCCACTTGGTTATTTTCACACTATACTCTTTATATGAGGGATTACTTGAAAGTGTTACACAGTATATAAATAAATCCCTAAATATGGATATTCATAATGTAAACACAGACTCAGTGAACAGAATAGTGGAAAACTCTGGCTAGCATTTTAGATGATTGGAATTTTGATACCATCTTGAAATTTTTTGCAGAGAAGATAGTGTATAGATGATTATACAAGCAATAAATGACTGAAGTTTACACTTGATATACATCTCTGTGTAGCTAATGTTTCTGATTGATGTTATTATGACATTAAAAGTTTTAATGTATTATGACATGTGTATATATAGAAATTGGTTATGGGAAAAAGGTGTACTCTCAGTATCTATCAAATATGTATGTAAATCTATATCTTGCTCTGAAATATATTTTATGTGACAGCAGAGAATATGCAATGGGAATGGAACTGATGAAATCCAGTGAAGCTTATAATAAAAACTAAAAATAATCCATGACAACCCTGAAAGATTATTCCAATTTTATTTATAAATGTATTTTAAGGACTTACTGTATGATTCTAAATTTCTTACTCAAAATTGTTTGGATGATAATCATCTGTAAGTTGAGATACACTTAAGTCATATTTATTGGAAAAGAGCAGTTGATAACAAATCGGAAATTGTTTCAACTGTTAAAGCATCTTATGTGAAACAGCAATGCTGAATTAGTATTATGATTTTTTCCACATAGCTATAGAACAATATCATAGAATCATAGAATCACCAAGGTTGGAAAAGACCTAAAAGATCACCCAGTCCAACCGTTCACCTATTCCCAATAGCTCCTACTAAACCATGTCCCTCAACACAACATCCAGCCTTTCCTTGAACACCCCCAGGGTCGGTGACTCCACCACCTCCCTGGGCAAATATGGCAGAAGAGATCACTCCTAGTTTAAAAACAAAGCCATATTTAACCATGTCTTAACATCCTGGAAAACTTTATTCACAGGCAAAAGTTTCACATCTGTTCCTGGAATTTCATTGACCAGTGGATGGGAAAGACAGAATAGCTAAAAAAAGTATTGCTTCTGCTTTCACTTATCAAGTATTGTAATGAATTTTTGGTGCGTTCTTTTTTTCATTGACTGCAGATTGAAACGGTGGGAATTTCAAAACTATTTTCAAAAAAAGTGGCACAGTAAGAGACACTAATGTTGCAGTTTAAATAATCTTATGTTTCAGTGAGATCAGTGTTGATTTTTGGTTGATCCTTTTGCATAGTGTTCTGGAGAATGAAATACAGATTAAAATCATGAGTGCTGCAGTATTCTGTGAAAATAATATAGTAGTGCTTCAGTGATTCAGGCTGTTTTCCAGTAAATTTTAAATGAGATCAAAGAAAAGTAGGCCAGTAACCAGACTAAATGCTTTGCTCTGGTGCCTTCATTTTCTACTATTTAATATGAAAAGAAAGTTTAATGCACAGAAACAGCGGTTTGAGTAGAAAATATTTTGGCTTATACTTTCATTTTGAATATCTAATGTCTAATATGTGCTGTTTTCTCTTTTCAATTGTGTATTTGCATGATTTATTTCAACAATTAAACTGAAATAGGCGTAGTTAATACTCCAGAGTTGGAAGTAGTAGAAGATGTATCCAGTAGCATAAATAGTAAATCTCAGTGGTCATTTAGATGACCTAAAGTACTAACTAGCTTCTGAGCAGTTAAAACAACATAAAATAATGCATCAAACAGTCTAATACAGATACTGACATATATTTTGATCTCTGAAGGAGCAAATAGATGAAAATGAACATGAGCAGGGCGTGCTGCTGTTCTAATTAAGCACAAATATCAGAATAACATATCACACTATTTCATTCTTATTCACATTATTCAATGCATTTGTTTTGTCTTATGAAACCTATTGAACTAGTAAATATCAATGCAAAAAAGAAGTGAAACAGTACAGCAATTTAATGTACTGCATGTATTTGCAGAAATGCAAAGAAAAGACTCCAAGAGAAATATCTTCTATTTAAGAAGAATACCACCCATTCTACTTATCAAGAATAAAGTGGTTATCTTGAAATTAAGTTAAATTGTGTAGCATTTATCAAATTCAAGAATTTAAGAGCTACAGTAAAGTATTAGATTTAAAAAAATCCCCTTGGCTTTATTGAAAAAGTGTCTGATTTCTGGATCATGACTTGATTTTGCACACTGTAACCTCGTTCTTTTGATCAGCAGTTAAAAATGTGCATTCCCTGTTGTTTTAGACACCATAATACCCCAAGAAGCCATTTTATATCAGCTAAAGATGACAGTTCAAATTTAATGTATGCTTCTACTACTCTGATCCTTGTACTACTGATATGTGGGTCCCACAATTCATTTATAAGAAAATGAACAATACAATTCTGTATCTTCACCAAGTAATTTTGAAAGTTACACGATCACAAAAATGTTTGTGTGTCAGTTATCTCCAGGAAACTGTGTAAGTTTACAGACAGAATATTTTCAGTTTCAGATGAAACTGTTCTACTCTGAGATGAGCAAGACTGAAAGTTTTCTTGCTTATATCTGCTGCCACTAGATGTCACTGTGTAGATGAAAAACGACCTTTTTTTCCCTTTTTCAGCTTTTCTTCCCATTTGATTTAATCAAGTATGATTTCCAGAAAGATGAACCAATTAGAAATAAGCATGGTTGGTGTGAGAAAGTTAAGAGAGGTAAGTATGTATTACAATGTATTACAATGGTAATGCAAACACTTCCAGGATCTTTTTTTTTAAGAGACCTTACTATTGGGATACTGTATGATACCAACATAAACTATTAATCATCAATTCTAACAAAAGCAATACGAATTTTGATGTAAGACAGACTTTATTAAGCACTGCAGTGCTGACACTGAAAGAACTTAGGAAATCTTTGGATGTATTCACAGAAGAGCAGTGTGGAAAAATGACAGTGTGATATGGTCTCTAGATATGAAGGAAATGTGCCTTTTTTAAAAGAAGTTAGCATACTGAGGTGATTGCCTGGGAGATCTATGAGAAAGACTGGTGAATTAGATGAAGTGCTTTTTGGAGAGACATTGAGTGCTTTTGATAAAGTGCTCCTTTATATGCTTTATCAAATACATTGCTTGATTATAACTGTCTTCAAAATGCTTATCAGAAAAGTAGTATCCCTTGATTATACCCATTTTCAAAGTGTGACATGCATACCAAGATATCCTAACCATATATCTCCTTAATTTTTGAGGAAGAAGAATTATATTTAAACTCCTATATTTTACTCAAAAAACGAAAGCAGTGATGTTTATCACATTACTAAAAAGTCTTCAGAGTTTTTCTCAGAAATTCTGAAGTTCTGAGCCTAACTAAGGATTTACTGCTTTGGTCAAACAGCTGCTCTTTTAGATACACTGGCTTTTTAACTGATTAGGGAGCTGTTAAAGTTGAGGCTTATCACTAGAAATCCAGTAAGGTATAGGAAGAAGGAAATACTATTTGCTCTGTGCACTTTGAGATGATAAAAAAATGCACTAGTGAGCTCAGAATTGATGGATGAGAACTGTTTAGTCAATAAGAAGAAATATATAACAGAAATTTGAATAGACAATATTGCTCTGTGTGTTTATGATCACTATGTGCACAGAGGTGACATGAATTGCAAAGCAGTGGTAACAGGTTTTATTTTTTATTATTAAGCTTTTATAATTTGGGCTTAAATACTGAACCCTGCTAAACTTGGTTCCTGGTTTTGTAAAGTGCTGTGTAGCAAATTAACAGCAATGCAATGTATGGGATTTGTGTATTTTAAGTTTACATTTGTTTCCACTTCTTTGTATAGGTGAGGCTGGTCTTCTCATTTCCCAAGTGAATGCAAAGAACCCCTTCTTTGGCTATGCTGGCAATAAGAGACACACAGAAAAGAAGTTACTCAGTGAGGTATTTAAGAAGGGTGATCTTTATTTTAATACTGGAGACCTAATGGTTCAAGATCATGAAAATTTCCTGTATTTTTGGGACAGGATTGGAGATACCTTCAGGTATAATCAATATTTCTTTTTACATATCTTCATTAAAAAACAGACATGTAGGTTAGAATAATAGTGATCTATTTGCTTTCAGCTAGAAGTGGTCAGTTTAGAAGTACGTTGATGCAGTATGTAATGGTCTTGAGAAGGATGATAGGGGCTTCATTTTGCAAAAAGTGCTCCTACTGAGCTGGATAATTCATCTCCAGTTTTGTAGGAATTACAGGTCTTTGAACAATCCTTCAGTGATCATACTTACCAATGGTAATTTTGCTGCTGGCAAGGAGAACTGGATACAGAAACAGATAAAAATGCATGAAATACTAAGCTGTGGTCTCATCTGATATATTTGGATATACATAAAAATTTTTAAATCATCAGGTTATGATAAACAAGCATTGTACTTCATAGTGATGGATAATATCTAGTAACACTTTAATTACTAGCACTGGTAATAAGATCAATGTACCAAGATGATGAGCAAGAACAAATATGAGCTATTAATAATCTAAAATGAATGGAATCTTTTTAAAGATATGCCTATATATCTCCAAAGGACAAAAATATTTTGTTTTCCACATTTTAGATGGAAAGGAGAGAATGTTGCAACAACGGAAGTTTCTGATGTCATTGTTATGATGGATTTCATACAAGAAGCAAATGTGTATGGCGTATCAGTACCAGGTAAAAGAAGCTTCAGCTTTATTTTTTCCATCCTCTGTGTTTAGTTGTTAACCTTTGTAACTCTTTTATTTCATGTTGTAAACCCATGAGTCATTTCTAATTGACTCATCTTTTTAATATGTAGCTAGAGTGTGTACGTAGATAATGAAGATGCCAACTGTTTCTGAATGAGGCAGTACATTTTTATGTGCATATAATATGTACTTTTGAAAAATTATCTTTCATGAAGTTGTGATAGCTGCATAAGCTAAAGTTTCAAGCTTTATTATTTTGACAGTCATGGAAAATCCACATTTTCATGTGTCAGAATAAAATAATGTCAGCAAGGTAAGAGTTAACATAGCTTTAAAGAAAAGTGTATGAATATATTCTATTTTATTTAGATTTTAACTAAGGCTTATAAACTCTTTACGGACAAGAATGTTAGAAAGCCAAGGTCATTACAAGGAATAAAAAGGAAAAAAAAGAAATTACTTAAAAGCAACTACCTTCTTTTCAGGTTTTTTTTTTTGTTAATTTTCATAAGGTTATTTGGGCCTCATTCACATTAATGCTAAAGGCTTTTAAAACTGTATAGCAGGTCTTGCTGACAGGGAAATGAATTTCTCCCTAGCAACTTGTGTGGTGCTGTGTTTTGCCTTTGTGGCTGAAGCAGTGTTGGTAACTCAGCACTGCTTAGCTGGACTTTTGCCTACCAGTGGGAAGCAGCAAATGCATTCTGCTTTTTTGCTTTGCTTGTGCATACGCCTTTTTCTTTCCCTGCTAAACTGCCATTATCTTGGTGCATGAGTCTTCTCACCTTCTTTCAGTTTATCCTGTCATGTGGGAGAGGGGAGTGAGTGAGAGAAGTGGATATTTAGCCCTTGCCCAAGGTCAAACCCCTACAAAATTATAAGCTTAAAATGCGAGAAGGGTGCTACTTGCCACTAGTTTAAAGCCACAAGAAAAATCATATTGAAGAGTACTGACTGAAAATCAGAATTAAAAGAATGAGAGCTCCTCATTTCATGTACAACATTTACCTTCTGATTCTTATCTGTATGAAGAAATAGCTGAGCCAGTTTACAGGGCACAAATAAATTCCCTCACAGAAACTGTAGCACTGGGGGGGAAAAAAAGATAAACAAGAGAAAAAGGGTTAGCTGTTGCTACTCAAACAGTAGTTAAAATGTGAAGGGTTTCTTTCATTGTTGAGTTCTATTTCTCTTGTGTTTTACCCATTTTTCTCTCTCATAAACCTACTGTCTTTCCACTCACATGGATCAAGGCTGTTAATCTTTCTCTCTGTTGACAACTTTAAGATCCACAGTTTTGAGAGGACATAGTGGCAAGAGGGAAAGGCTGAATGTGAAAGAGCAGTCAATTCATTAATCCAGGGGAGCACATGTGTAGTCTGTTTTTGAGAGAAGAGTGAATTTGTTGCTTAACTCATCACCTGATTGATCTCCAAAGAGTGAAACATTGTACAAAATCAAAGTGTAATCCTACTGTTTTAGTGAAACTCAGAATACTATATGTAATTGTCAGTCCACCATTATTTCTTTTTTGTAAAGTTTTCGTCTCACTTCCTTTTCTCTAGGCCATGAAGGAAGAGCTGGAATGGCCTCTCTTATTTTAAAGCAGAATAAAGCAATCAACCTGGAGCAATTGTATAAACAAGTAGTGACATATCTCCCAGGTTATGCCTGTCCTCTTTTTCTAAGAGTCCAGGTAAGCTGGATGACTGCTTTGTGCATACAAACATCTATGCTATTTGAGCACTGAGAAGTCTTATGAAATATGAGAAAATTCATGTTCAGATATCAGATAATTTTATTTTAGAACTGGTCCTATTTACTGTATTAATGGAGTTTTAGGGGAGGAGTTACATAAAAAAGGCAATGCAATTTGCAGATTATTTTAAAATGAGAGGAAATGTATTAATCAGTAAGAAGAGACATCATACAAAAGCATTTGTGGAGATTAGAAGCATGCACATGGGAAAACAAGAGGTTTGGATTACTAAACTGGGAACTATTTCAACTGGAGAAAATAACCTAGAATCCATTTTATTCATTGAAAATGAGAGAGTAGAAAGGTAAAGCAGGAGACACAACAAACAAGATAAAAGAAGAGAGGTCATGAAGTGGAGCTCAAAAGAAAGAAGGAGGAACGAGGATGCTGGAATCAAAGAATCACCAAGGTTGGAAAAGACCTACAAGATTATCCAGTTCAACTGTCTATCAGCAGTAGTTCTCACTACACCATGTCCCTCAACACAATGTCTAAACCTTCCCTGAACTCCTCCAGGGTTGATGAATCCACCACCTCCCTGTGCAGCCCATTTGAGCACTTCACCACTCTTTTGGAGAAGTAGTATTTCCTAACGTCCAGCCTAAATCTCCCTGGCACAACTTGAGAAAGAAATACTCTCAGATGTCCATGCAGTATGGGAAAGTATGAAGAGCAGTTTTAATGGTTGCATCGAGAGTTGATGACAGGTCAAAGGGATAAGCAACAATTGCACTAAAATTTCACAAGTCAATTAGGAACGTTCCAAGATTGCTTAACAATGAAAGGAGCACTGTGGTCAGAGATTTAGCTGTAATTTAATCAGAGTGGCAATGGAGGAGTTGAATCTAGGATTGGTAGTAAATCGTAAGCTCAGTTTGAAATGAAAAATAAATAAAGTAATCACTGCAGAGTTTAGTGGTGTCTCTGACAAAGGTTTCACATGGGAGGAAAAAAAAAATCATAGAACAGCTTGGGTTGGAAGAGACCTCAAACCTTATCCAGTCCCAACCTGCTGCAAAATTGCCACCCACCAGATCAGGCTGCCCAGGATCCCATCCAGCCTGGCCTTGAACACATCCAGGGATGGAGTATCCACAGCTTCTTTGGGCAACTTGTTCCAGTGCCTCACTACTCTCACAACCCTTGGTTGCTTGCAAGTGACTGCAGCTTCTTTTCACTCTATCAACATGTGTTGGTCCATAGCAGAACAGAAGTTCTGAGAAAAATGATTTCTAGAGAAATGAGACCAAACAGTATCAATTAGGACTTATAAAAACAAGTGAAAGTGTGAGTCAAAACATAATAAATCTCTCTCTCTCCTACAGGAAACAATGGAAATGACTGGAACTTTCAAACAACAAAAATTTAGATTAGTGGACGAAGGTTTTAATCCATCTACCATTACGGATCCTCTTTATTTTTTAGATAATTCCAAGCAAACATATATCTTGTTAACCAAAGAAGTATATGAGAGAATCTTATCTGGTCAAATCAAACTTTAATTAACCCAATGAAAAGCTATTAAGGGACAGTTTCTATGAGCTACTATGTGAAAAGCAGTAAAAATTATTACCAATATTGATATGTTATCTAGATTAATATTTCATGTAGTTCATATTTTCTTTCAAACATGTATTGTACCTTTCCTCACTTACCTTAGTTCACTAGTAATTTACTACCACTTGAGATCAAATACAAGTAAAGAACCTGTAAAACAAAAATGAAATTTTAATTTTAGAACATAAGTGCTGAATCTGATAGCTTTTCTTAGAACTAAAGGAACATGTATGATACAAAGTAAAAAAGATCAAACATAACAAAAGTGTACTGACAGAAGCTGCTATTAATTCTATGCAGACAAACTATGCCAGCAACATATTTGTAAATGTATCTAATATATACTTTCAAATATTTGCTTTAGAAAATATAGACTTGGAAGTGGTTAGAAGAAAAATCTTACATGGAGGAGTTTTATAATGGAACATAAAACAAAAGGGGATGAAACAGAAGAAAACCCTCCAAACAAAGCTGAAATTAAAGAATTTATACAAAGATCACTACTGAGCCTGCTAGTCCATACTCTTTCATGTGTTGAACTGACTCTTTAGAGAGTCAAAGTATGAAGACAGACCAAACTGTTGTGAAGTGTTTGGCAACAGATTAAAAGTAGACAGTGTCCACACTTAATGGGAAAAAAAAAAATCACTCATGTAGGATTGTATAATCAACGAGTATACAGGTGTACAATCAATAACTATACAGGCAAGTTAGGCCGGAAAGATTATTGCGTTAGAGCAGGATAACCAGAAATGAATGGAAAGCTTGCCCACATCCTGGGCTTGCAGAAAAAGACTACAAGAGGAACAATCTCCGGAAAGAGATCCTTCCTTAGTGGCAGTCAGCTCTTAAATGAGGTCTTAAATGAGGGGCTCCACCCCTTGTGCTCACACTGGATTGCCTTCACCCGTGCTCCCGCAGCCGCAGCTGACTCATTGCTTGCCTCAGGGGATCAATCAGAGGTTCAGGCCGTGACTCAACAGTTCCCATACAAGCATAAGAAGAATGATTTGTGTTCTACGTTACGCATATTGACTAACAATATAAAAATATAAAAATAGCCTCTTTACTCTTACTAGTGTCTGCCAGAGATTATTATTTCCTGGGTCTAAAATATTGCAGATTAAAAACAAATTCTTAATCATATATTCTCATGCCATTCTTTACAAAATTAAAAAAAAAGATTATTTAAACAAATTTTGCATCGTCTGTTTAAGACTGATTACTTATGTACTTGTTAATAGTATGCTTTAAATACTTTTTAATAGTTTATTTTAATACCGTGGTTCAGTGCACTCTTCAAATAATAAAAATAATGGGACAGTGTTATCCTGTAATGGATTGTGGCCATTACAAAAGCTTCTGCCAAATGCTTTTCGCAGTGCTGAAGAGTTAAATCACATGCTCAATTTTGATGCTAGATTTACGAGTTTGACTTATTTTGCTTTACAAAATCTGGTACTGTTTAAGACTAATGTAGATGTTCTACCATTGAGAATGAGAATAAAAGAAATATCAAAAAGGCAAGCAGAAATGTAAATAATTTTTCACCCTGTGCTCTCCCTCTCCCCTTCCTCCCCCCACCAGGAAAAAAAAAAAAAGTTTGGGAATATCACCATTTGGTGACTTACTTGTTAAAGTACATAGGATGAAGAAGACTGTTTCTGAATGGGAATGTTAGGGCACAAAGAGCATTACAAGAGGGAAAACATTTTCAGACTGTCAACTATGAAGAATGCTGGCTGATGTTTCTGTGCTGAGATATGTTGCAGCAGCAGCAGGACTCTTCTGACACAGCAAGCTTGAATAGCCCACAAGTGTTGGTTTCCTAACTCCAACCACTAGGGATATACTGAATTTCAGCAGCTCCTTGCTACTCCTTAGAGTATCCATGAGAGCCTGCCTGTTTTCAAGGACATGCAAAAGAGTCTTTCTGTCCCATATGCTATCTCCAAGAGAGAGGATGGCTATAGTATCAAGAATTAAAAACAGGAAAAGCAACAGGGACTGTGTAAAAATAGCATATTGTTTGCCATTTCTTTCTTTTAGCAAGTAGATTGGATACCAGCACATGCACTGGAGCATGTTACAACAAAATGTGCTATTTACCAATTACTGAAGTGGCACTGGAGTTAGGATGAATAATAGTAATGTTTATTTAAAGTACTGGGAAGGCTCTTCCTTTCAGAATGAGAAAGTTGAAATACTTTGACCAACTTGTTCATTTCCTGTCCTCATGCTCAGGTCAACATGTGGAATTGACTGAGGGCTTGAGTCTTGCTGCAAAACTATGCATAACTTTTTTCCTGGGAAGTTTGATATTTTGTGCTGGTGTTAAAGCAACTACTGGATGATTGAGTGTGGGTGGGCAGCTGCAGTGCTGGCCTCATATTAAAAAAAGAAAAGAAGGAGATGAAAATAAACACAAGTAATTATTTCCAAGCTTTAAAGTAATGTATCTTGAAGTTTACTTTTGCAAGTGGGGATGATGTTCAATGGTAAAAGAACCTTATTTTAAAAATTAAAAACCTGAAATTAGAATTGCCATATAAGGAATGTAAAATTTTATGAGAGTCAACACATACCCAGTCTCTTGTCTTTTAGGACTAGGTACAGTTAGTACAGCTACACTCTGAGCTAGTTTCACAAGTCCTTCTCAGGATCCCCAGGGAAAGGTAAATAAATAAAAAGTTCCAAGCAGATCATGGCCTGAATTTTGTTCCCCCACAAATAGAAATAAATGGAGCTTTTTGAGAGATGAAGAAATATCTAAGCTGCCCAACTGAGGAGGATTAACCTTGGCTTGTCTCTGAGTTTTCAACACACCGTTCTGGCACTCCCCCTCCTCAGCAGGACAGGGAAAAAATGATCACAGAATCATAGAAGCACAGAATATCCTGGAAGGAACCCACAGTGATCACTGCATCCAACTCTTGGCTTGAAGCAGGACCACCCAAAATTGACATAATATTTCTGAGAGCTCCCTATTCTGTGTTTACAGAACAGAGTAGGAAATCTCCTCTTGGCCTGCAGGCAGTCCTGGGCCTAGTTCACCCCAGGGTATGGTTGGCCATTTGGGCTGCCATGGCATGCTGCTGGCTCATGTTCAACTTGCAGTCAGACCCAAGATCTCTTTCTGCATGGCTGCTCTCCAGCCTCTCTTCATCTAGTCAGTACATGTATAGCCAGGATTGACCTGTCCCAGTTTCAGAGCCTTGCACTTGCTCTCAAACGTCATGCAATTGCTGATTACCTAGCCCTTTAATTTGTCAAGACGTCTGCAATCCTCTTCACCCTTGAGGGAGTCAGCAACTTCTCACAATTTAGTATTATCTGTAAACTAACATAGTATACTTTCAAGTTTCGAAAATATTAAAGAGAACTGTTCCCAAAATGGAGACCTGTGGAAATCCGGTAGTGACTGGTCACCAGCTCAAGCTCCTCCTGCTGTGACTTTGGTGGTTGCAGAGCTGTTTCTCTCCCATTTCTCACTCCTCTCTCCCATTTGCTGTTGTGCAGCATTTTTAATACTTAAATATTCCTTCAATGCTTTCTTACATAATGTCATATAATCATAGACCCATCAGCAAAATGTTCACCCATTACATTATGATTTTGTCTTGCTTATATGCTGGACTTTTTGTCTAGGAGGACACTGAAAGAAAGTGTTGAAAGCTTAGCTGAAATCCAAAAACAACTGTATTTCCTTGGTCAACTAGGTGGGTAACCTTGTTATACACTGAGATTAAATTTTTTAAACAGGACTTTCTTCTTGTGAGTCAGGGTTGACTGTGACCAATGGCTGCTTTATCTGTCAAGTGTTTTTCAGTAACTCCTGGAGTAACCTTCTCCGTCATTTTGCCAGTCACTGAGACTGGCAAGATTGTAGTTATCAGTATTCTTTCTTGCCCTACTTAAAAACTGGGATAATACTTGACATCTTCCAGCTGACTGAAGCCTGTCCATTGAAAAATAACTGAGAGAGATCTCATGATTACATGATTCAGTCCTGGGATGAATCCCTTCGGGCTCCATAGATTTATGTGTGTGGCAATGAGGCATGGACTCAGGTGTGAATGATCAAATCATTTATTACACTTATATACATTCACAAGATTCCTCTTTCAGCTTTCCCGTCTGTGACTACAACTCTTCCATCTGCCTTTACATGTCAACAAAGTATTGCACAAACGCTCCTTAGCCATGCATACAGGTGCTTATCCAACCAGAGCCATGGGCTGTTCCTTTGGCTTTTTTTTCTAGAGCTGTCCTTGCTTCTCAGTGTTGCTTTTTCATGCAGCAGCAGTTCAGAAGAAAGACTTATGAACAGTCTTTCTTGTATTCCCACAATTCTCCCTTTTTTGTTTATTAGCAAACTACCACCACTATTTACTCTAAAATAATAGCACTACTTATATTAATAACATACTAATCAGAACTCAATCAAGGCCTTGATTGATAACACACTAAACATAAAAAAAGAATTACATAGAAGGTCATGAGTTTTTTTAGCTGATATGTGCACACTCAGGCAATCTTAGACAATTCCATGAGTGGGAAATGGAAAATCCCTAAGTTAATGTGCTATTACTTATTAACTCCTGAGAGACAGCAAATCTCAGGAAAGAAGAAAGAAGGAGCATGCTGGCATTGGATGTGATAGGCAGTGCAAGCAGGGCATCCCCTGCTTCGAAGTGCACTTTTCCTCTCTCTCCCATCACAGTCTCTCTCCTGCTTTTATTCTTCTCAGAGTCTGCATGGTTTTTTTTCATTCGTATTCCGCATCTGCATGGCCAGTGTGCGATGCAGAGCCCAAGCAGAACAAACTGTGAGCAGAACTTACAAAATAAGACAAACTACTAAGGCTGGCTCTCCCTACAAACAAAACAGTTGCAGAAAGTATTTACAGCTACAGCTACTTACTCCCATGTTTTCTTGCTGACCAAAGCAATGATATTGCCATCCTTGCTCACTGACATATTGCTAACTGGATCCATATTGCCTGAGTCGTCGTTAACTTGAACAAGTACATGATTTATCACTTTGTTAATCGTAACTCTTGCACAGGAAATAATGCAAGGAATACAGACTAAAAGGCACACAGAAATCAAAAGACATATTAGTCCTAAATTAATTAGATTCAGAATCCAACAACCCAGGTCTTGAATCCACCCTTTGAACCAGCCCCATGAAGTTCCCACATGTAATTTCTGCACACCTTCCTGCAGTTGCTGAATACGCTGATGGATGGATCTGTTAAGTTCATGCAGCACAGTCCTCCAGTGTCCTCACAGCCATGTCCTTGTGTGAGAAGCAGGAAGTCAATAGCAGCTCTGTTCTGCAGTGCACTGTGACAAACTGAGTCGACATCCTGTAACAGGCCCGAAAGTGCTTGTGAGTTGCATTGGTCTGTTTGCTAAGCCAACATCCTAGCTTAATTAAACTAGCTAATGCTTTAGCAGCTGCTACCCCAGAGTGAAGAGTGATGCAAACACAATTGATTCCCTGTTCCAAAATTTAATCTTGTCTTTGCAATTTTATCAAAAACATGAATATTTCTTCAGATTCTACCATGATTTTGGTGTTTGGCAAGGATCACAGTCAGATTTGGTATTAATAAGGTCAACGTGCCCAAGGAGCAGGGCCCTCCTTTAATATATGATGGAATGTTTAGCCATGTGCAATCTCCACATATTAAAAATACACATACTAAAAATTACTTGATTTGGAAGTATTTGAGGGTGTGTACTTACACCAGGCTGATGCATTTTTATACACCAGCACTGTAGCATTGACTGACCATGAAAGGGATTTATCGTTTCCAGAATACTTGAAAAATGCACACAAATCTCTTTTTACTGATCCCAAAAGTTCTAGCTTCTGCAGGGGTAGCAACACCGGGGACAAGGGGGAACCCACTGATCCCACATGTCCACCATCCATTTTCCTCCCCGGACCTTCTCTTCCTGCACAACTGAGGAAGCACTAGTGGTGTGAGCCAGTTGTTCTCATTTTCCTTGATCAAGGGGAAGTCCTACCAGACACGTGGTAATGGGGAATCAGGGGATGATATTGATAAGCAGAGAGTGTTCTGTCCAGTGTTGCTGGCAAGCATAACCCACACATTAGTCTTAGTGTGCAGGTACCCATACAGCTTTCACGATGATGGTGCAGCAGATGAAGGTGATGTCAACAAATGAGGTTGCACTGCCATTCCTGGCATCCATCATGGTCCTGCACCTGTGGAAACACAAGCATAACCTCTCCCCCAAATTATTAGTGGGAACAGGCCTTCGCATTGACCCGATTCTAAGTTCTTTATTAGTACAGCAGCTTTCCCCTGAATATTCATTCTTTCCTCATTAACTGCAAAAAAATGACAGGCTATGGATAGTCCTCCATCATCATAACATTTTAATAAATTTATAAAGTTCAATACATGTGTGGCTTTAGCAAGCCTTTCTGCTGGAAGTGCCTTCTGCATTCCCTCTTTTCGCCTAAATAGCATAAGGGTGCTGT